TCGGGGGTCGTCTTATACGCTGGGTGTCGTTCTCCTGTAACCAGGCAGACCAGCCCAAAAGGCTCTGACGAACCTTAAATGGCTCTGGCGATCCAAGCTCTGACGATCTGCTAATCAGGCAACTCCGCTGGGATCACCAGAGCCATGGAGAAGAAAAAAAGTTTTCCCCCTCTAGCTTGCTTACCTTAGCTGCTTGCCTTGCTTCACTTTGCCTTGCTTCGCTTGCCTGAATCCATTCCATCAGCAAGCAACTCCCTGCCTGAATCAAGCAGGCAAGGAGTTGTGGACTTCAACTCCCAGAATTCCTCAGCCAGCAAAACAAAGCTGGCTGAGGAATTCTGGGAGTTGAAGTCTACAAGTCTTAAAGTTGCCAAGTTTGGAGACCCCTGTTCTAATGGGTAAGTTTTTTCCCCTTTGGGATCTTTAAAAAAAAGTTAATTGGGGGTTTTTTTAGTTGTTCTTTTTTAGACCTAGCCATTTAAAGTTTAGGAAGTTTTAAATTTAGCTTTCATATAAAAATAAAAATAAAATAAAATAATATTTGTGCAGCTTTCTGAGATTTAGTGTGTTTTGATAGTGTTTCACTCTAACTACACAAACACACAAAATCTCACAAAGCTGTATGTGGAATTTTGTGTGTGTAAAGTGTGAAAGTTGGGTTTTTGGGCTTTTTGTGGCTGTATGAGGTTCCTGCTTGTTGCAGGGGCCATTTTGGGTCTAGCACAGCTGCTTTTACATTGTGGGTGAACCAGTTGTGTTGTGTTGTGTGTGTTGTGTTGTGTGTGTGTAAAGTGTGAAAGTTGGTTTTTTGGGGGGGGGCTTTTTGTGGCTGTGTGAGGTTCCTGCTTGTTGCAGGGGCCATTTTGGGTCTAGCACAGCTGCTTTTACATTGTGGGTGAACCAGTTGTGTTGTTGTGTTGTGTTGTGTTGTGTGTGTGTGTGTAAAGTGTGAAAGTTGGTTTTTTTGGGGGGGGGGCTTTTTGTGGCTGTGTGAGGTTCCTGCTTGTTTCAGGGGCCATTTTGGGTCTAGCACAGCTGCTTTTACATTGTGGGTGAGCCAGTTGATGTTTTTTAATTTTTATTTGGTGTGCGTTGGAAGAAAAGTAGTCTTATAAGGCGAGTATAGCCCAAACCCTATATTTTAACAGGAAAATTCGGGGGTCGTCTTATACGCCGGAAAATACGGGTACCTTTTTCTAGCTGTGGGTTAATGAATAGTTAGATGTGAACCCATTGAAATGAAAATGGAGATAGATGAAAATATATCTAAATATATATATACACATATGTGTATGTGCGCGCACACACACAATGTTATATATAATATTATATATATATAATATATATATATATATATATATATATATATATATATATATACATACATACATACATATATGGTGTGTGTGCGTGTGTGTGTATACAGTTAATATTTCGGGTTTCTTCCCGTGTAATTGTGAACATATCCCTAAAAGGGTAGAAGCGACGTTTCAACAGAATCTCATCTGCCATCATCAGGCTTATGTGAAGGGTCTTTTGCTGTAACTGCCGTTACTAGCAAAAGACCCTTCACATAAGCCTGATGATGGCAGATGAGATTCTGTTGAAACGTCGTTTCTACCCTTTTAGGGATATGTTCACAATTACACAGGAAGAAACCCGAAATATTAATTGTACACACATATATACTCGTGAAAACTTACATAGATATATATGTATGTATGTATGTTTTTCCTCTAGCCAGGTTTTCCCTATGTAACCAAGGTTTTTCTGCAGCCCCAGCTCAGTAGAATCACATCCACTCGATTCTGGGCTTTTTTCTTTTCTAGCAGCCAGCAAGCTCTTCCTGCTAGGTGGGAGACCTATATAGATCTATTTTCCAGCTCATTTGCTTTCATCAGTAGGCCACACCCACATCTTATGTATCCTCCCTGTAAAGGTATAGTTTCTATTTTCTTACTTCTTCGTAGATTCTACACTGGATACAGATTCCAGTGGATGTGATTCTACTGAGCTGGGGCTGCAGAAAAACCTTGGTTATGTAGGGAAAAACTGGCTAGAGGAAAAAGACACATAAACCCTACGAAGAAGTAAGAAAATAGAATATATATATAAGCAGTCGCATTCATGACAAACCATTTTATACCAAATTTATATTTGCTGATAAAGAAATAAAAGGAGACTAGTATAGATCTATTTCAAGCTATTTAGCTCTCATCAGCTAGCCATACCCTTACTTGGATTTGAACTTGAATTATATATATATATATAATTTTATTATTAATTTTAATTATAATAAAAAGGTAAATGTTTTCCCTGTCCAGTCATGTTCAATTCTAGGGAATGGTGCTTATCTCTGTTTCCTAGCTGACTGGGCCATTATTGTCTGGATACATTTTCTAGTCATGTGGCTGTCATGACTATACACCAAGACCCATGAAACACTATTACATTTCCACCAAAGTGGTAACCATTTATTTGCTTTGCACACTTTCAAACTGCTAGATTGGCAGGAGCTGGGGCAAGTAACCGGAGTTCACCCCGTCACACAGTGCTTGGGTCTCGAACTGCCAACCTTACGATCGAAAAGCCCAGCATCTTAACTTCTGGGCCACCACGCCTCCTTTTTAATTATAATAGTAAATTCTAAATCAATCCAAACTTAAAGAAAGGAGAATGGAAAGAAGGCATATACAAAGCTCAAGAAAAAAAGAAGAAGAAAAAAGTAAAAATGGCATTAAAAAAGAGAAGATATTAAAAGAAATAAGCCATCAACACACCAATCAACCAATAGGAGGACACTATATAAATATGACGCATAGAATAGCCCAAAGCCCATATTCCAATAGAGAGAAGTTCCCTGAGGAGGGGCTCCACCATGAGTCCAAAAACTCAGAAGAGTAAACCTCTGGTCCTGGTGACCGACCCAGATTGGATCTTGAAATAAGAAGTTTCTTCCAATCTTTATCACAAGTATGAAATAAATCAGTAATTCTTTACCCTCTCTAAAGTTACAAACTTCTATCTCCCATTTCATATCCCATCTCTTATCTGTAAACAAATCCATAAAACAGCATCATTTCAGTCCTGGAATCAGGAAAACATAATAACAACATACTGTATCTTGTTTCAAGCTCGAACAAATAAACCAACTTTGTATTATTTCATTTTACTTCTAACAGTCTTAACTTTTAGTTCATTCAAATACTGTTACAGGGTTTCATTTCATTTTTTTTTTTGTACCATTACATGGAGTTCTTCGAGGGTTTAACAAGCTTCTTTTTTAAATCCATGTCACAAGCAGAAATTAGATAATGACTCTGAATTTGAAGAAATATTCTGTTGAGTGTCGGCCTCAGGAAATAAAAAATCAAGAATCACATGAGTCTGATTAGCTGGAGAAGACAGATAAGGATGGCATTACACCTTCCACCACTGCACCCAGTGAGTAGAGTGGAGAGGAGAACAGAGGATCTCCTTTATTAGGCTTCTTATCAAACCAATTTCTTGATTAATGAGTTGGTTGCTGCCTGATTTAAGAGCCTGGTGACTGCAGCCTGATTTAGGAGACAGTCCTGACTCGTGATCCCTTGTTGGAAGTAGCTGTTTGTTATCCAGCTGTTGTGTGACATTTGTGTGGATTCATGGAAGTCTGATCTCTGGACTGGCTGCTAACCCTGACCTGATTCTCAGGACCTTGGGCTGGATTTGGACTATTCCATATCAGAAACTCTGTTTTGATTTGCATTATAATCTACTATTATCAACTTGAACTTCAGCAAACTGTGAATTATGATAGCAACTGTGTTGGTGTATTTAAAACCAAAAGCAGAACAATCCTATTGGGAGGGGGAATCATTCAGGTCACCCTCTTGGTTTGTCATTTATATTTCTCTTTTAAATTTTTAAACCTCAGCCCATTTCCTTTGCAGATCCAGTGAAACCTCCTTTTCTAAATTATTTTTTTTTGACCTATTAGTGGCAAATCCACTTTTGATACCACCTGTTTTAACAGCTAAACATTATGGTTAGAGTAAACTAAACTGAACACATGGTGTGGCTAAGTTCAAACGTGACACTATGCCAGAATTAAACCACCTGACATCTTAGCATTTGTGAACCCAGCCCATTTTCTATCCACTCAGTCTGCCTCACAGAGTTTGGATAGAACTAAATTGAGGGACCAGGTAGCGTTTATCAAAGAAAGAGGGCTCCATGCAGTTTGTTCACCTTTGCCAGCCTTCTAGTGCCCCCGTGCGATGACCTGTATACGGTTTATATACCTGCCTTTGATTCAGAGGCATTTTAAAAAGCAAATTAGGGAGGTCATGACAATAGGCATAATAATGGAAATAGTCATACAGCCTTCACTGTGTTCCTTTGAATGGTCTTGATCTGTACTGGCGTCTCTAACTGTGCAGCCCAATCAGCCAGCACAGTACAAATCATCCAGGACTCCGATTAAACGGCGATTAGACCAAGCGGTATTGTCAGAAACTCAGCGCTGATGCAGCTTCTTTCAAAGAACCAAGTCCCAAAGCTTCCAAATATCAAAAGGGCTCAATATCTAACTGAACATGTATTTAAGGGAAATTGGCTCCTAAATTACTGCGCTATTGTCATTTGTTCTTCTGTGGTTCACAAAAAAGGCTAAAGTGAAGGCTATTTTTAAAATTCAGTATTAAAAAAAGAAAGAAAGAAAAAGAAGGATTGGCAAAAGCAACAAAGGAAATTTCCAAGGTGGGAGGAAACTTGGTTTCTTTGGCTTTCTTCTTCTTCTTTTTTTCCTTTTTTTCTTTTTGTCTAATGTAAAGGGTGATCTTTTCTGCATTGTACATAAGAAGCTACTACAATAGGAGACAGATAATACAGTTGTGATTAAGGCTTGGATGAAGCATTTTCCGGACAGAGAAAAAGAAGAATTAGAAAGAGGAATGCAGAAGGTCAGCTGCTCTTTTAACCGATTCAAAACTTAGCTATACAGTCTATTGGAGCCTTACTGGATATCTTTACTTCAAGTGAGGTCACTCATGTTGCGTGATGCTCATTGGGTCTTTTAAAAAGTCAGGTATATAAGCCTTCCTCCCATATCAGTTTTCCTTCTCATATAGAAATAAGAATCTGAAATGGAATTTAAAACAGATAAATAAGCAAAAGCAGTTTAACCAGGGGTGAAATCCAGCAGGCTCTGACAGGTTCTGGAGAACCGGTAGTGGAAATTTTGAGCAATTCGAAGAACCGGCAAATACCACCTCTGGCTGGTCCCAGAGTGGGGTGGGAATGGAGATTTTGCAGTATCCTTCCCATGGAGTGGGGTGGGAATGGAGAGTTTGCAGTATTCTCCTGCCACGCCCACCAAGCCACACCATACCACGCCCACAAGCCACACCTACTGAACCGGTAGTAAAAAAATTTAGATTTCACCACTGCGTTTAACCAATCAAATGGTTAGCATTAATGGCCATACATAAAAGGACCTTGAAACAAGTAGAACAGAAATGCACTGTGTGATTCTGAACAAGCACCAAAAATTTTATCCTTCTCATCTAGGAGGAGACAATTTAAGGGACAACTACAGAGAAGACCTTACCAAGCCATCACCAATTCGAACAGTAACATCTGCAATGGACCTCCCTGGTAATTTTGATAAGTAGTCAAGATTGGGGGTGGGGGTGGGGATTTTCTGTTGCAATATTTTCAGGATCAGACTCAATAAAGATAATAGGAGTTAGAGCTTTAAATATATTTCTTTTTAATTATGATAGGCATTCTATATTCACTGAATATTCAAGGTAGAAGCAACGAGAATGGTGAGGGTGGCTCCTTATATATACAAGGGGTGGAGCTAGGAATGGGAGTGGTAAGTTATGAATACATTAAAGTCCAAAGAATAAGTTAACCTCTGATGTTCCATATATACATTATTTACACATTGGAGAATAAGGCATTTACATCTGACATTTTCTTTGCTGATTGAGTCCAAGAATTTCATCCAATCTAAACTGATAGTTATGTTAAGGTTACAACTCCCAGAAAAAAAAAGAAAAAGATCCTGGGAAATATAACTCAGACACCTCTGAGGTTGCTCATTATTCTATGGCTTTATATTTCTGAGCTCAACCACTGGAAAATTGGAGCAACAGATGCTGGTGGAAGATTCAAAATGGACAAAAAAAAACCCAGGCCTTTTTCACACTACAAAGTACGCATTTGGACACTCACTTCTACAAGATACAGATCAGTGGTGGTTGCTCCTGGTTCGGTCCGGTTCTATAGAACCAATAGTAAAACTGGCCGGAGGCTCCGCCCACCCACCATGATGTCATCATGGGTGATCTGCGCATGCACAGAAGCTTCCATTGTGAACCAATAGTAAAGGTAAATGAAACCCACCCCTGATACAGATGTCCACAAAACTAGACACCTTCAAAATGGGACTACATGTATTAACAGCAGATTTCATTTTAGATTAGTAGTCTTGGGGGCCATATATAATTTCCAATAATAGAGGCAGTTGGTCTCTCAGCACTACTTGCTGGAGAACCCTAATGGAAGAACCGTATTGTTTTCACCTTTCTTCCTGCCTTCTCAGTTTTGAAAGAAATCTCTTACCATATTCACACTGACATGAAACAAAATGCCTCAGAAAACCAGCTGTCAGATTTTAGGGAGGGGGAATGAGACCATGTCCAAATGGACTATCAAGTTCTTCCAAAAAAAGGTGACATTACTATTAAACTCTGTAACCATGTGATGGAACTCAATGAAAGCTTATCTCTCAACTTCAGAAGAAAAGTCCAATTATAATTGCCAGCTTTATTCTCTCTCCCTATAGCGTCTTTGCATTCCCCCACAGTCTACGTATGTATTTCAATGCGGGAAAGGTCCTGCTGTTTCAATTTTTTTCCCCCCAAAGGCTTTTAAAAAGGATAGGAAACAAATCTGAAGAGATTATAAAGACATCTGCAGCCAATGAATGTTTATGAAGCTTAGTTTTATTCTAGCTGGCATATTCAATTACATCTGATTAAGCTGTCCTTTTAATAATAAAAAAAAGAGAGAGAGAGCAGAAACAAAGCTTTCTTCAGTCTGTGTAGTACAGATAAATATTTTTTTTCCCCTGGGAAGATGGTTATCATCTTATCCTCTGTGCTAAGAACTCTTTGCTAATATGGCTGGGCTGAGATAACTATATTGCTAAAGAAAAGTTTATTGAAAGGATGTTATGATCCAAAATCAGAATTATAGGAAATTTGTTCTGTGCTTTTAATAGGCCCATGTGTGGGCATTTGATCTGCATGATGAATCTCCTTTTTTTAATAACTATTTGGATGGCTACCCTTATTTTAAAATATTAATATATTTGGAGACTTCTTAGTCGTTTAATGAAGGAAGCCCTAGATTTCTACTGCCAAAATCAGTGCCTAGTGATGTATAGAATCTGACTGATGTTATTGGACTAGAACAGAGGTCTTTCAAACGTGGCAGCTTTGAAACTTGTGGACTTCAACTCCCAGAATTCTCCAGCCAGCATAGCTGGGAGTTTATTTATTTATTTATGTATTGGTTCAATTTATATGCCGCCCTTCTCTGGAGACTCAGGACGGCTTACAATGCGTTAAGCAATAGCCTTCATATTTCGCCCCCCCCCCCAAGCGGTGTTCTTTTTTATAAGAAAAAGATTTTATTTTTACAAAATCAGCTTATTGCCCCCACAATCTGGGTCCTCATTTTACCTACCTCGAAAGGATGGAAGGCTGAGTCAACCTTGAGCCTGGTGAGATTTGAACTTGCAGTAATTGCAGGCAGCTGGTGCTACTTAATAGCACTTTAGTCTGCTGCACCACCAAGTCTTAAAGCTGCCAAGTTTGAAGACCTCTGGATTAGAATTTCTCTATGTTGAATCCTACCCCTTATGAGCTTTTACTTTTTAAAAAAGGGCAAATGTTGATAACGACTGAAATCAACTTTCTTTATTCTGTTACCATTTTTGAGAGTGTTGAAATGTACCAGCAGATTTTGTCAATTTTTTTGTATTTATTGTTCTAAATATTATTTTAATGCATTGCTTTTGCACTTCCTGGCATGTCTGTACTCTAATTCAATCCTATTGCTAGTACAGATAGTCTTTGATTTATAACCATTCATTTAGTGACTGTTCAAAGTTACAACAAAAAAGTGACTTATTTGACCGTTTTTCACACTTATGACCATTGCAGCATCCCCAAGGTCATGTGATCAAAATTTGGATGCTTCACAATGGAGAAATATTTATGACCGTTGCCATATCCCAGGGTCATATGATCAGCTTTTGCAACCTTCTGACTAACAATGGATGGAAACTCAACAAGGAGAGAAGCAACCCAGAACTAAGGAGAAATTTCCTAACAGTGAGAATAATTAATAAGTGGGATGGATTGCCTTCAGAAGTTGTGAGTGCTACATCACTGAAGGCTTTTAAGGGGAAACTGGACATTCCATTGGTCTGGGATGTCATAGGCTCTCTTGCTTGAGCAAGGGGTTAGATTGGAGGACTTCCAAGGTCCCTTCCCACTCTATTAAAGTCAATAGGGAAGCCAGATTCACTTAACTGTGTTACTAATTTAACAACTGTAGTGATTCACTTAGCAACTGTGGCAAGAAAGGTCATAAAATGAGCAAAATTCACTTAACCGCTGCCTCACTGAGCAACAGAAGTTGTGATTATAAGTGGAAGACCTACCGGTAATGATTCATAAGCTATTGACATTGATTGAAATTTCTCAGATGCACTGAGTGTCAGGTTTCGATGTCGTCTCAAATAAATTGCATTTCCAAACAAATAGTCTTTGATGAAATCTTTCATTTATTAAGCACGACAATCTGTCCCCAATTAAGTCGTAGCCAACACTGACTTCCTGACCCCAAACCTTCCCTTTCCGTTCCCCAATTCTCTGCGTCTCATTGGCCATCTTCCAAATCATTCTCCCCATATCTATTACTTCAGCTCCCAGGAATGTCCCCCCCTCCCAACCCATCTCCTAGGGGATATTATCTTCAGGGAAAATAAGTAGGTGAAAAGTCAAGTGTCCTCTTGTCAGCTGCCCCCTCTTCTCCTCTTTATGTCAGCACTGGAACGAATGTAGTTTGAAGTGCTGACACTGAGAACATCTGCCACTTGAGGGCAAAAGGTTGAAGAATGTGGCACACCTGACATGAACGAAAAGGACATTATGACTCTGAATAGCCGGAGAGGTAGAGATGACTGTAGATGCGATGAAATTTGTTGTAAGTGCTAGGACCAAATTGTAAGTCACTATTTGAGTAGTGTTGTTAACTTCAAATGGTCACTAACTGAACTGTTGTAGGCCTAAGGCTATCTGTAACTGATTGCACTTCTTGGCTTGATTATCACTCTAAAATGTGAGTTTTTAGTATCATGCTAGTCAGAGCAGACACCTTCTCTGCAGCATATAAAGATTTCAGCAGATTTCATGTACAAATTATGACTGCTTACTTTTTCACAATTTATGCATAATTTCTGAAAGTACATTGAGCCCTCAGATTACAACCATTTGTTCAATGATTGTTCAAAATTACAAGAGCACTGAAAAAGTGACTTATGACTGGTTTTCATACTTACAACCATTGATTGTGTGATCAAAATCTGGGCATTTGGTAGCTGGCATGTATGTATGACAATTGCACTGTCCCAGAGTCCTATGATCACCATTTGCAACCTTCCCAGCCAGCTTTCAACAAGCAAAGTCAATGGGAGATTCACTCAATGACCATATGATTCATTTAACAACTGCAGTGATTTGCTTAATAACTGTAGCATTGTGGTCATAAGTTGAGAAGTATCTGTTATTCTGTGTGTAACGGATATTCTAAACATTATTGTTCTTACACATGAATTATTAGGGCTATTCTAAACTATAGACCACCTCTTAAACAAGTTTAATAAATGAGGCATGTTTCCAGAACTACTTTAAAAGTTAAAGGTAAAGGTCCCCCTCATACATATATGCTAGTTGTTCCTGACTCTAGGGGGTGGTGCTCATCTCTGTTTCAAAGCTGAAGAGCCAGCGCTGTCTGAAGATGTCTCCATGGCATGTGGCCGGCATGACTAAATGCCAAAGGCACACAGAATGCTGTTACCTTCCCACCAAAGGTGGTCCCTATTTTTCTACTTGCATTTTTTATGTGCTTTCAAACTGCTAGGTTGGCAGAAGCTGGGACAAGTAACGGGAGCTCACCCCATTACACGGCACTAGGGATTCGAACCACTGAACTGCCCACTTTTCGATCGACAAGGTCAGTGTCCTAGCCACTGAGCCACCACATCCCCAATAGAACTACTTTAGGTGACCATATTCGTATTTATTTAGTGCAGGCTGTGCTGGAAATGTTTGGCAGTGACTTAAGTGAACAAGATTTTAAACAAGGGCTAGGATTAGGTAGGTATCTTATAACTAGCATGCCAAGTAGAAATTCAGCTGTTCTAACCTTTATTCTCAATCAATTCTTAATTCTTAAAACTCAACTGTCTTTCTTGAACTTCATTATGTAAACAAGACCCTTTGACTAATGCTGAATTGAAATCTGCCATACAATTTCTAAAAAGAAAACCACACACACCACAAAAAGAAGCTCTTTGTGTGTATGTGTGTGTATGTTCATAATAAGAGACTATTTCTCCTATATATCTAAAATTTAATACCTGCACTGAAGAATAGAAGAATTCTTTCAAATGTCATTCTTCTGAAACAAAACAAAAAAGACCAACAGAAATTAGGCTAGGTCTCAGAAAAATTGGTTGGAACAATTAAACAATTTCCAAAATTAAATGAAATTATAGCATTCAAATAAAGAAAAGAAATAAATGCTTAATCATTTTTTTTAAATTAAACTTTTGTCCTATTTTGTTCACAAGCATTTTAAAAAAGAATATACTGTATTACCCCATTGTTTCAGTAATTTTCCTTAAAAGGAAGAAAAATTGAAACAGACATCATGTAGATGTGTTTAACAGACCATGTAAATAAATTTCCCATTAAAAGATTAGGGAATGTGGTGAATTCAATAGCCAGTGAGACAGGAATATGATTATTTTTTTGTAATATTGGCCATTTTGATAATGATTCCACAATTATGTGTTTCTGGTCGGAAAAGCAAATTTGCCTATGAATTTTCCTTGAAGTAAGAATGTAGACTGAGAAATCATTGGCACATTGTTTTGTAGTGGTTTATTTAAATAATGCATGGATTGGGGATTGACAAAGCTACCACCCACCTATCCCATCTTAACAGGAGAAGAATCAGGAAACAAAAACTCTCTACCTTGAGAACAAAGCCCCCCAAAAATTGGCTGAGATATACTGTCTCATAGACAAAGAGGAAGTAGAGGGAAGTTATTATAATTATTATTAGCATATTAGTCATTGTTACATTAGCCAGAAAACTATAACACAATTGCAGAGGAGTAGTTTGGCTGCCAAGGTACCAGCTCTGTTGGAGGAAACACCTGCGCGCTTCCCATGGTGTGCAACAAGTTGGTGAGCTGGCTTCAGACCAGAAAGAGAGATAAATGGCAATTCCTGCAGTGTCACACAAAGCTCCCCTCATGGAGGCATGTCACAAACGGGTGCCGCAACCAGGAAGGTTCAGAAGGTAGAAATCTGGCTGCCTGAATGGCGCAATCTCTCCCCCCCCCAAAAAATGATACCTACTTTATCTACTTGCATAGAACATGTTTTTGTTTAGGTAGACAGAAGCTGAGGTGAGTGATGGGAACTCACCCCAACATGCAGTGCTAGGACTCAAACCTCTGGAGCAGAAAACATCTCTGGCATCATTAAGGCACTGTGTTGTGGCCTGTTGGCCGCCGGCCCCTCCAGCAGCCGAATCTGATGAGGAAGAGGAGGAATAGTTGGGTCCAGTGCCTGACGCACGGATGCGCAGAAGGCAGAGAAGAGAGCAGTGGAAATCCATGGGCTGATCCTTGGGAAGGAAGAACCATTGCTGCTATCAAAGCCCCACACTAGCTCTGGGGATAAAAGGCAGGGGGCGGAGATGAATAGATGTGGCAGACAACTACATGGGGCTCCCCTTGAAGAGCACTCGGAGGCTCCAACTGGTCCAGAATGCGGCCGCGCGGGTGGTTATGGGCGCAACCCGTTATGCCCATGTGACACCCCTCCTGCGCGAGCTGCACTGGCTTCCGGTGGTCTTCTGGGTGCGATTCAAGGTGTTGGTTACCACCTTTAAAGCGCTCCATGGCATAGGACCCGGGTACCTCCGAGACCGTCTTCTGCCACCAATAGCCTCCCACAGGCCAGTCCGCTCCCACAGAGAGGGTCTCCTCAGGGTGCCATCGGCCAAGTCATGTCGGCTGGCGACACCCAGGGGGAGGGCCTTCTCTGTGGGAGCCCCAGCCCTGTGGAATGAACTGCCCCCGGAAATTCGTAAGATCTCCGACCTCCGGGTGTTTCGCTGCGCATTGAAGACCCTGTTGTTCCGCCAGGCCGGACTATCAACACAATAGTTTTAAATTGGGGTATTTAAATTTATTGGGGTTTTAAATTTGAGCCACTTATTTAATTATTTTAAATTTTATATCATTGTTTTGTCTGTGTTTTTAAATAGGCTGTACACCGCCCTGAGTCCTTCGGGAGAAGGGCGGTATAGAAATAAAATAATTATTATTATTATTATTATTATTATTATTATTGTTGTTGTTGTTGTTGTTGTTGTTGTTGTTGTTGTTGTTGTTATTATTATTATTATTATTATTATTATTATTATTATTATTATTATTAACTATTCATCTGCCAGCCAGCCAGACTTGTTAGCCTGAGGTGAAAGAGAAACTTTTTGCCGGGGCTGCTGGCGCTCCTAATAAAGGAATCATTGCTTCAACTACAGAGGGTTTGTCGTGTTTGGGGAGCTGAATCAGAACTAAACCACCACACCTTTAGCAGGGTGAAAGATGGGATGACAAAGAGTAAATTCCTAGCACCTTTTGGTCCTGAGAAGTAGAGATATTTAAGAATTGGTGACAATACAGGTAGCTCTTAATGCATGAAGTTGTTATCACACGATCAGACCTGATTTTATGACTGTTTTTACTGCAGTTGCTAAGTGAATCCACCTTCCCTAATTGACCTTGCTTGCTGGAAACCAGCTGGCAAAGTTGCAAATTGCAATCATGTGACCAGAATTCCGATCACGTGACTTAAGGGGTTGGTGCGATAATTGCAATATTGAGGACAGATCATAAATCATATTTTATGAGTCCATCATAACTTTGAACCATTGTTAAATGAACAGTAAAGGGCTACCTGTAACCGTTCGTTGAGCGACCATTTGAATTTACAACGGTACTGAAAAACTAAAAATTGGTCCTCGGTCTTATGACCATTGCAGCATCCCCAGAGATGGGATCAAAATTCAGGTGCCGGCAACCAGCATGTATTTATAATGATTGCAGTACCCTAGGTCATGTGATCACCACTTAACAATCTTCCCAACTGACTTATAATGAGTAACGTCAATGGGAGAAGCTGGATTTGCATAATGACTGTATGATTCACTTAATAACTGCAGTTATTCACTTAACAACAGGGCAAAAGGGTCATAAAATTGGGCATGATTTGCTTAACAACTACCTGTTAACAATAACAACAGAAATTCTGATCCCAATTGTGGTCATAAGCCGAGGGCTACCTACAACACTCCATATAGAGAGAGAGAAGGAAAGTATGTACAGGAATGTAGCAAGGAGAGATGATTACGAATTGATTTGAACCATCCCCAGAAACACATCACTAACTTTATTGAGAAACATTGTCTTCATGCAGAATGTTTTTGTAAGATCCAATCTGCGTCAATCACCAGATTTTGTCTTCTGAGCTTTCAGACTCATGCTGGAACCCATCTTCAGGGAACTTCTCTCTAGCACACACTCTGCTGGAGAGAAGTTCCCTGAAGACAAAATGCACAGGTACAGTATATGTGGTACCTTGCTCAATAGTAGTAACTGTGAGACGGATCTTGGAGTCCTAGTGGACAATGATTTAAATATGAGCCAGCAGTGTGCTGCAGCTACCAAAAGAAGCCAACACACTTCTAGGCTGCATAAACAGAGGGAAAGAATCAAGATCACTTTATAATGCCTTGGTAAGGCCACACTCAGTAGTGGGTTTCAAAAATTTTTATTACTGGTTCTGTCGGTGTGGCTTGGTGGGCGTGGCATGGCTTGGTGGGCATGGCTTGGTGGGCACGGCAGGGGAAGGATACTGTAAAATCTCCATTCCCACCCCACTCCAGGGGAAGGTTACTGCAAAATCCCCATTTCCTCCCATTCAGCTGGGACTTGGGAGGCAGAGAATAGATGGAGGCGGGGCCAGTCAGAATTTTTACTACCGGTTCTCCAAACTACTCAAAATGTCCGCTACCAGTTCTCCAGAACTGGTCAGAACCTGCTGAAACCCACCTCTGGCCACACTTGGAATACTGCATTTAGTTTTGGTTGCCACAATGTAAAAAAGATGTTTAGACTCTAGAAAAAGTGCAGAGAAGAACAACAAAGATGATTAAGGGACTGGAGGCTAAAACATATAAAGAAGAGTTGCTGGAACTGGGTATGTCTAGCGTGATGAAAAGAGGGACTAGGAGTGACATGATAGCAATGTTCCAATATCTCAGGGGTTGCCACAAAGAAGAGGGAGTCAAGCTATTCTCCAAAGCATCTGAAGGCAGGACAAGAAGCAATGGATGGAAACTAATCAAGGAGAGAAGCAACTTAGAACTAAGGAGAAATTTCCTGACAGTTAGAACAATTAATCAGTGGAACAACTTACCTCCAGAAGTTGTGAATGCTTCAACATTGGAAGTTTTTAAGAAGAGGTTGGATAACCATTTGTCTGAAGTGGTGTAGGGTTTCCTGCCTAAGCAGGGGGGTGGACTAGAAGACCTCCAAGGTCCCTTCCAACTCTATTCTAAGTTGGGCTCCAGCACAAGCCCAAAAACTCGGAAGCAAAACCGAGTGACCAGTCCTGGTGACCAACCCAGACTGGATCCTGCGAGCTTATCCTGGGACACATATATTAGCTTTTATTCATGAGAATGTTTTTTTAAAAAAACTTGTGTCTTTCTTACATCCAGCTCTAATCCCACACGTTCTTTCCATCTCATTTTGGAAGTTAATAGACCATGAAACTTACCTTCTCTCTTATCCTTTCCTGCAATGTTTTCATTGACGTTTCACATTGTCTTCTGCCTGCAAAAGGAGCCACGTTGAGAATGTAAGGGAATAACCACATGCAAACTTTTATTGTTATTCTGCCAGATATGATTCCCCCCCCCTTCCTGTTTGTAAGAGACAGATAATAAAATTAATTAAAGTAGGTCTTAATGCACATTTGGGAAACTGATGGGCTCTGGTAGTGCTGGATCAGCAGTCTGTGATTTCATATTTGCCTAGGATTAATAAAGGAAAACAAGATAATTTATATAAGAGCTCAGGCAGATGAGATGCCTGTAATTGATGGAATTGTCTGCCTAAGTGAGCTGCAATCTATTTGCTTACTTGGTCTGACAGAACCCACATACGGTATTACACCAAAGCATTACAAAGCTTCAGGAGTAGCATTGAGTCTTATGAAATGGGGATTAGAAATTGAGTCTTATGAAATGCAGAAACATCAGTTCAGGAAAACTATAGGTAGTCCTCAACTTATGACCCTAAGAGAGCCTGCCCATTATGGTTGTTAAGATATGATAGTCTTTCAGTGGGTTAGCCCCATGACCAACCTAAGTTTGCAACCTTTCTCAAAGGGATCGTGAAGTGAATGCCATGGCCAATAAGCGAACCTATTGTTTGCTAAGGGCTGATTTTGCCAAAAACTGGAAATAAATGATGGTTTTCTCCAAAAACCATCATAAAACATATTTACATGACACGTGATGCGGCAAACATCTGTAAATGCAGCAAGTGCTTGAAATGCAGTTAGGTGACCGTGGAGGGGAGCAATCAGAATTTTAGAAACAGGTCATAAATATCCCTGGGAAGGTCTGTCATAACTTTGAATGGTTGCTATATGACCAGTCATAAGTTGAGGACCATCTATAATGCTGTTCCAGCAGTTACCAAAACTAAATAAGACCCTGTTTTATATTTTTTTGAACCTTGGCCTTATTGCCATGCGCTCAAAAGCCCGATTGGGTTTATTATCAGGGGATGTCTTATTTTGGGGAAAACAGGATATGACTATCATTCTCATCATACAGCAACTTTTCAACTTTTTAAGTTACACCACAAATCTGAAAACAAGAGATCAGAATCACTCCTTCAGCTGGGCCAAATGAAGCATCTTAATGAGAAGACATGGAGCAAATTGAACCAAGTTTCCACACTGCCCAAATCAGCCACATCCTGGCATTTCCTGTGCCAACAAAGCATAGCTTTCCACTAATATGAATGTATGGCCATGTAGCAGTCTGACTCAAGGTGATCCAGATGCCCAGATCTGAGAATAAGATGAATGGTATCTAAATTTGACAAATGAATAACTTAAAAGTGGTAAATCAAGCCCAGCAATGGGTTTGAACAAATATATTTGTAGTTGTCTGGAAGATGAGTCATGATGACTGGACTTCTTCCCTTTTTGGTTCAATGCTTATCCGAGTAGATTCTTCATTCTGAGCAAATTGGGTTTGGCTAGTCTAAAGAAAAGAAGAATTAGGGGTGACGTGATAGCATTATTCCAGTATTTGAGGGGCTGTCACAAAGAAGAAGGGGTCAAATTATTCTACAAAACACCTAGAGGGCAGGACAAGAAACAATGG